CCACACCAATATAATAGAGATACAGATTAGATAGTTTCAAATCTGCTGTGATTTTAGATGTTCCACAGTAAAAGGTGAAAGTCAGAAAACTCAATAGGACTGACTGCCGCAGACAGACTGGCAAGGAAGCAAAGAAAAAGAGAAAACCTCGAAGGATGGAGAATCTCGCATATCACAGAGAAAGGGGCTGCTCTGAGTCCTGTTGTATGCTCTCTGGTCAGCGAGCTCTCACTCACTGAGGACCTTGAGCCAGGGAGTACTGTTGTACCTCACTCATCTCTGCTCCCAGAATCTCCCCTTGGTGGGAGATTCTGGCATCTGTTAAAGGACCTAGGACACTGGCATCTGTTAAAGGACCTAGGTACCCCCTGTGGCACTTGGAAAGTCTCACATCTCTGTGATATCAATCCTTGAGTTGTTATGCTCTTTGTGGATCAATTCTGTTTTTAGTTAGGAATTCTTGGATGGGGACACTCTATTTCAGATATTTCCAGGTGTGCTTAGTTTTGGTACAGAGAAAGAAGGAAAAATTGATATTGGCCACAGCCGATAGCACCCTAACTCAGGTGTCAAAGAAGTATGTATGAATCAAAGAAAATGTTTTAGTTAAGACCATGGAAAAGGCATCAAAATTTAGTTCCATTGCTTTAGGTAACATAAGTTTTTAGTAGCTTGTATTTTTCCATACTGATACTGTGTGCATTGAACCATCACAGTAATAATATTAACTTTATTAACGTTATTACTGAATTCAGTAATAACGCTTTGCAAGATTTTAGAGTTTTCTCAACGCTTGGCAAGATTTTAGAGTTTTCCTAGTTTAATTTTGAAGGAAACACAACATTATAAACTTTCCAACTCATCCTTTTATAATTGAGACCTAGAAAAACACCTTGTATCATCGAGACAGGACTCAGATTTCCCAAGCTATTTTCCTAAAGGCAATATATCTAAACTTCTGTTAGGCACAGAATTTACTATAAGTGGAGTTGCCCATCACCACCAATTTTTAGCAAAATACTTACAAATCAATAAGGTTTTTAAGCAAATCATAGAAGAGATGTTGAAATATTGTTTCTAGCTTCTCAATCATGTATTATATATATTCTAGTGAAGAGAGGTGTTGGTCAATGCTCTTTGTTTTAGTCATTGACAATTTCATTTTTGAACATTGTAGCATTCATCATTCATTTGTTCAATATTAATTGAATGTGGGGGTAAGAGCTAGGGATTTAAAGATTTCTGTATGAAAGGATTTCTCATACAGTTCTTGGGAGAAATGATGTAAACAAGAGAGCTTAGGTAACCTGAGATACGTTATGGTGGAAATGGGCACAGATGTTCAAACGAAGGCATGGCCATTTGCACTTGGTGATGGAGTGACCATAGACAGGGAAGAGTCCCTGGAAGTGTGTTGTAAAACATGAGTCAGGATTTCCCTGACAATTCTTATTGAGGGAGTTTATAATTAATGCTATTTCTGTTGCTATCATGATGGAGACTACTATGAAGCTGACCTGAGCAAGATTTAAATTAATCAACTGGCTTTTCATGTTCACTTGTGAATCTGTCCAAGGCCTAGGCTGCTTATCTGGAAATGGTGGACTCATAGTAAGTGAACCTCTGTGAGTCACTATTCTCTACTAGAACCTGTAGTGGTGGATGAAGCCAGAAAACCTCAAAGGACAAGGCAAGATCACAGCCAAGGACACCCGGATCCGATCTCAACTAGATAAAGACTATAGCTTCAGGCATCTCATTCTTCAGTGGATTAACTTAATACCTTACTTAGAGAAGTTCTTGAGTGATCCCACCTTTCTTGAGTGGATTAATTTAATACTTTACTTGGAGAAGTCCTTGAGTGATTCTGCCCTTCTTGAGTACGCCCTGCCCTTCTTCTGATAACCAAATAAATATGGGTGACCCAGAGAAGGTGTTGGTCTTAGCCCTGAGAGACTCTTGAATTCTGTGAGAGGGCTTTGATTCTCCTGGAGCCCTGAAATCATTCCATTTGCCTCTTTCTATTTAGCCTTCACCATACACTCATTCAGGAGATTGCAGACCTGATCAGCCCCCAATAACTAAGAGATATTATCAACCTGATACTATCACAACATATCTGGTGTGTCCACTTAAAGTTTTCATGCCCCTTTCCACGTCACCTCAGTTATTCAGTGCCATCAAAGTTCTAAAATTGGCTGGAGTTTATGACTGTGATTGAGGCACTGACACTATGTACGACTGCTTTACAGGAATCATCTCATTTGACCTTATAACAACTCCATGAGGAGGAACCTCTTTTGCCCACCATAACTATTACTTATTTTTTGGTGAGGAGAGGAAACAGCAGCATTGGAATCCCTTTAAATGAGCTTCCCGGACCGTGCTTTCTTAGGACTCCTCCCGCTGTAAGTCTCTGAAAGGAAACGTGGCCAGCCACATGCAAAGAAAGTCACCACCACCTGTGTTTAGCAGCCATGAGACATCCGCCTGGATGAGGGCTGCCCCAGGACCCCAAAATGCTTTCCACAGAGCTCTCCAGTGGGAGCCAGAGCTCCGTACCATCAAATCCTCTGTGCTCTATTCCTTGTCTGATAGGTACAATGAAACTCTGCTTTGATGGTACAGACAGATACCAACACACGCTATCTCAGCTATCAAGAGACTCATAACTAAAAATTCAGTATTTATGCAATAACACACATTTATGAGGATACTCAGAGGGAAACATTTAAAAACTTCAAATATTCCTCTGCATTCACATGACAAGGAAATACGGATGCACTTGGAAGCCTCTTCATTTTATTGGAATTGTAATGCCATCTGCCAAAGCTCACTCTGTCAAAAGTACTGCTCCTGACAGCCTCAAAAGGGAACTTTATGTGAGAAACAGGCATCTGTTTTTGCAAAATCTATAAAAGACAGGTTTTGTTTGTATTCACAAGGGCATTTTGCAAATTTACTGCCCAATTAATATGTCATTCTGTGGTGATGACAAAATAATCAGATTCTTAAATGAGTCCCATTTCTTTTCAGTTTTAATTTTGCAAAGCATAAGAAGATTACATAGTGGGGTACAGAAATTTACCCTGTGAATCTATAAGAACACCATCCTTCCTTATAAAGATGACACTGCTGACGTCATCAGGACATTTACTTCTAGAAATGACAGTGCACTTGCGCCTAGTCATCCTTACCTGACTCCTTCTGTGACATCAAGCTTGTATGACTTGTGAAATGACAAACTCTACCTAAACTAGTGCTTTTGGAAGAGAGGAACAAAAGCTGAGCTCCAGAAGAACTGGCTGTAAGATCCTCAGTTTCCGTCAGTGTGTAGAGGTAGGTGACACTGGCCAGACATCTGCTCAGCTGTTCCTTATGCATGGTGTCGATTCAGTATCAACATGTTCGATGTAGCAAAAGGCATGCAATAAAATCATGGTTCATGCTTCCAAATAATTTACAATATACTCAAGGAGGTAAAAATATATATATATAGGTAAAAGTACAAATGGGCTAAAAAGAGTATGCATAAGTAAAAGTGTAGATATGACTGGTAATCATAAATGCTATATGATTGCACAGCAAGGGCATCTTGAATTTATGAGGACTTCCTAACTGTCATTGATTCTCCAGCAGAAACACGAAGAAAGCAAAGACCCAAATGAGGACACACGCGTTGAGGCAAGTGCTGGGGAGAGGCGGTGGCATGAACGGTTTTGTAGAGAATGAGGAAGAGTGATGCACAAAAACTGTACAACGAGTATCACAGTTCCAGAATTTATGTTAGAAAATTACAATGAGAAAAAATGTCGCCTGTGTAATGTACATCAATTGATGGAATGTTTTGAGAATACCAGGTTGAAGTCTTAACTAGAAATCAATGTAGGGTCAAAAAAAAGGAACAATGTAATGGGAAAGAATCAAGTACTTGTATTCTTTATTTTTCTTGGCGCTGGGGGTTCAACCCGGGGCCATATTCTACCACTGGGTGTCACACCCAGCCCCTAAACAGCTCGTCTCCTGTATCGTCGGTGTGTGGGACAGATCCAGCGCAGTGCTTGAGATGCAGCAGTGAAATGAATGCTCAGAACCAGGACACTAAGCTGGTTTTTCAGAGGCACTCGCCTTTTCCCATGGCTGAAATGTGCTCTGCTTCACCCTGTTCAGACCCTGGTTCTTCCATCGGTAGCATTCACAGTCCTAGTGGTACTGGTGCTGCCTCCCACGGCAGGAGCTGAGCCCACGTATTTGCCTTCCTGAGAAATACAGCAGCCAGGGGATGGCCCTATGGCCGGATTTGGGCATCAGACACACCCAGGGGGACCCCGACTCTGGACCGAGGGTGCAAAGCAGCAGAAGTCTCTGTGGAGAATCATTCTAGTGGCAGAGCTGCATACATCACAGCTGGGGGCAGTGGCTCGGCTTGACTGTCCTTGTGGAATGGCCCTGCATGGAGTCTGGACGTGGAAGCTCCCTTTCCTCACCACCACACCCAATTCTGCCCCTGTCCTTATGACGCTATGAGCTCCTCAAAGGCCTTTCAGTGAGTTCACTTTCTGAGTAAGTCAAGCAGAATCGGTTTCTGTTCTTTGTACTCAGGAACTCTAATAAAGCATCCCTAGCAGAAAGTGGGTAGGATCTCATTTAGGGGTAATACTGGAAAGGGACAGAGTGAGAAAAGCGCAAAACTGAAAGACACTGACAATGAAGAATTGACAGATTGGGTAACTAGCAAGGCATTGCTATTCCATGCTTGCCTCGCTCCTGTGTTTGCGGTAATACGTGCATGACATTGCCTAAGGGACAAAACACAGTGAAGCAAAATGCAAGTACGTACCCTAACAGATTCAAAATAAAGTGTTTGAGGAACATGTGAATACAATATTTATAAGTGTGACATTTCTTCAGAGGATAGAGTAAACTCAAAAAGTGGTGGTAAAGATAGAGGATTTTTTTTTTTTTTAACTGAAAAAAAATCTTTCTATAGAGGGGCAAAGCAAAGCTGGAGAATGCAAGGAAAGCTGGTGGTGTGATCCAGTCTGAGTCCAGTGAGCTGATCATGTAATTAGAGCCCAAGGCTGGTGTCCTGACAGTGCAGACGTTCTGATACCCCAGGGAGGAGACAGAGAGAACCCTCTCTTCTGCCTTGCTTTACATGGACTCTGACAGGTAAGATGGGGGCCACCCACACCAGTAAGGGCCATCTTCTTTTCTTGGTCCATAGATATCAAGGTTCAGTTCTTCTAGGAATATCCACACAGGCACAATCAGGAACAACGTCTTCCAGGCTATTTGGGCATCCCTAAGCCCAATCAAGGAATCACACAGAATTAACCATACAATCCTACTTACTACTGCTAGAGTATTTGAATCCCAGGCAAATATAAATATACCCATCTCCTGATCCTACTGAGATATTTTGCAGCCTTTCGCTGTGTGTTCAGGTCAAGGCCAATCTCTTAAGATGACTGACAGGGTCAGCCATGATTGCATCCGCCCCAAAGAATCCTTCCCGAACAACTTTCATGCACACCCTTTGCCTGGCAGCCCCTTACTCCTAGCTTTTGTATGCCATTCCCTGTGCCTGGAATCTGCACCTCACCTCCTTCTCTGTGCTGCAGGGCTCACCTCTGTGTCACCTTCTGAAGAGTGTCTCCTGACCACCATTCTTAGCCAAGCAGACATTGCTAAGTTTTTAAAACTCTTGGTTCAAATGTTATTGCCCTTGTTTCTCAGAAGGTGATGGCTGACTTTCCTCATTTCTTTTCATCATGCAATGGTGACAAATGGCTCACTGATCTCTGTAGCACGTCTGTATTCTCAGATTCTAGGCTTTGCCCAAAAGAATCCTTGATAAGATGTTTGTAGGAAGCTAAAGAGCACATATTCCTTATTAAGCCTGAAGATTTCTATAGCTAAACTTTGGCTAAATTTATTATTAAGAAAGTGTTCTTTTCACAAAAGTGAGAGAAGGAGTCTAGGCTGGGGGTTTCCCTTAACTAGCACTTCATCTACAATGAAGCTGGATCTCTAAGATACAATACATGATTGTTTCCAAAATGTTCAATGGTCAAAATGCTAGGGCTTTTTAAAAAGATGAATAATTTATTGAGAAACATTCTTGACCTCAAGAAGAACGAAAGTTCAGAAAGTGAGCTTTCCTCCAACTTCAAAGCAGGTTTCCACAGATAGGATCCTTTGGTGATTCTAGTTGAATGCTAGCACCTCTTGCATTATAGAGGAAAAACAGAGAATAGAAAAATAAGTATGGATAAAATTAGAAGGGAAAGGCGAGAGTAAAAATAATTTTAAAAATTCCTACAATTTTAAAGTCCGAGGAAAAGAGAACGGAAAGAGGGGGAGGGGGAAGTACAGAGAAAGCTTCTGACGGGGAGTGAATCTCACAGAGGACTGGGGCTTCGGTTAGCTTTCAGCTTGTTTCCCTGCATGCTGAAGGAACACAGAATTCCCTCGTCTTCACCACCCTGGTCCTCCAGGTTGGCCGAATTCACGGCAATGAGGCATTTGAACGGCGGCGGGGCGGGGGGGCGTAGTGTGTGCTCTGTACTGTGCTCTGGGGAGGGGACAGAAGGGGCCCAGTGCAGGGACCTCTTTCGGAGACAGCAATAGGGATATTCCCCAGTTTCCTGAACAATCCCAATCTTGAGTTAACGTAGAGCACCCGTTGAAGAGAAAAGCTTTCTATAGAGCGGTACTTTTCCCACTGTCTACTATGAGCTCAGTTTTCGTCCTAAAAAGACCTTGGGAGACTCATTATGAAATTGAAAGGAATGTCAAGAATGTGGTGACGTTCACAGGCATTATAAACATTTCTTCTGTACAAAGTGGGAGAAAGGATATCACAGGGGTCTAGAGAAGGATGTTTTCCAAGATACAGAGGCAAGTTCATCAAGAGTCGCGTTGATTCTTACACAAATGCAGACAACATGGACAAAATGAACTGTCTGTGAGGCTGGGTGTTCTGGGTGTAGAAAGGATGTACTTGCTATGGCTGAATCTCTAGTCCAGTGCTAGAAACATAGCACGTCCTCAAGACCAGCAATGAATACATTAGCCTATAGGACAATTTGGAGAGCATGCACTAGGTAGTTTAAAGATGACTCTGCATGTTCTAAAACAGTTAGTATAACACATAATTTCCACATACCAAAGTAATTTTTAAACAGGCACAAATGAGATAAAGATCATCACCTATTAAAAACACACCTTCCAATGTGAATTAGGGAAAATTTGAACTCCATACAGGGCCTCAATGCCTGCCGACCTCTTTGACTTCATGTCCCATCACTGTCACTGTTCTTTATAGTCTAGTCACACATTTTTTTTCTTTCCGTTCCCTGAGTGTGCTAGCTAAGCCGGCTCTACCGCATCTCCCTGCCCTTCACTTGGAACATCCCTGCTTAGATACATTCGTAGTTGACTCTTCACTGTTTGGGTCTCCTTTGGAATATCACATGCTTATCAAAGCCTTGACCAAGCTATTAAACAGGGACTGTTTTCTCTTCACTCTAGTCAACACTCTGCTTCATTTTCTTAGTGTTTTCTACCATATAAACTTTACTATTTACTCTTTGGTTTAGTCTTCGAAGCCCCACTTGGGATTCATGGTACCTTCACACAGTAAGCCATCCCTTTTCTAATTAAAATGCAAATAGAGGTATAAAGTATTGGGCTGGCGTGTAGCTTGGTGGTAGAGCACTTGCCTGGCATGTCTATGGCCTTGCGTGCAAGGCTCTGCATCACCCCAAAAAAGGGATTGTTAGGAAACAGAGGGTTTGTGATATCGGAAAGGACCATGGTCTACACAGAATCCCAGAAAGAAAAAGAACAGAGAAATATCAATTCTCGGCCTTAGGAAAGTTCTGATTACTATGTTTATTAGCTCAATATTGGGCAAAGAGATGCCCTAAAAAATTGTGCACATTTTCATTTAGCTTTTGGATACAATTAATTTCATGTGAGCTTGAAGCATGTTAAGCTTGACACCCCAGACTCTAATAACACCGTAAAAATGGACATAAAATGATGAAGAGGGATGGAAGTGGTTACTTTTAATAGCAGGAAAGAACACGTCTCAAGAATGTTTATATTCAGGAAAATAGCTCAATAATGCTCTTTTGGTGGCAGAAATGCAAAGCCCTCACAGCCTCACTCGTTAAAAAGAAAGCTGAAACCGCTCTGCGTGAAAAGGGAAGATAAAATGGGACTAGGAAAAGGGGAGGCAGAGGAGGATTAAGTTTGTAAAAACACACTGGTGTTAAGTTGGCCACAGTAAATAGAAAAGAAAAAGTAGCATGTTTTAAATTTCTTCCTCAACACACATTGTCCAAAATTGCCCAGATCATTAGTAAATTCTTCTGATGCATGGCTTGGCTGTGACGGTTAATTCTGGGTGGCAACTTGCCTGGACTTAGGGGTTCCTAGGGGACTAGTACACGGGTCCCTCTGGCCGAATCCATGAGGGTGTTTCCAGAGGAGACGGTGTGTGGGCAGAAAACAATGGGGAGGTCCCAGGTCGGGGCTGAATGAACGGGAATGCCTGAGAAGGGGGAGACTCGCTGTGATGATTCTTCCGAAGGTGGACACATTCTCTCTCATGCTGCCTCAGGCTCCAGGTTCTCGGGGTTTTGGAGGTGCCTAGGCCATTGGCCTAGGGCTTGGGACAGTCCTATCAGCCCCTCTGGTTTTCCAACTGGGTCATGTTCTCAGGTTCTCGAGCTGTCCAGTTTGCAAGCAGCCATCAGAGAACTTCTCACCCACTGTGATCCTCTGAGCCAACCAACAGCCCTGTATATGTATATTTTATTTGTTCTGTTTCTCAGGTGAATACACGGCAATACCTTACCAAGAGGTTTGTGGGAAGATTGGTGATTCAAGGCTGGCCTGGAGAAGATAACGCTCATGGGACTCGAAGTGTAAGTCCCATAACGTCAAGAACAAGGCAGGCAGGAACTCAAGAGCTAAGAAATGACCTTTACAATGGAATCTTCCAGGAGCTCCTTGGCTAGGCCTCAGATGTATGCAGGAACAAGTCTAACAGTTTTTTGAACATTTACAAATTTTCAAGGTGGAGATATAAAACTCAGTTAGACAGGGACTCCAGTATCACGGAAGGTAGATAAAGGTCACACTTCTGTCAGCGTCGCTAGGAGTTCCATGTGGCTCAGCATAGCGTATGTTGCTGGATATTAAGAACACTTAAAAAATAAGTAGAGGGCAATATATTCCATTTTTCTGTTCTCTTTTATTTCTGATTTATAGAGGACTCGGGTTATTCACTGCTGGTAGTAATAAAGTAAAAAAATAAACGTTGTCTATGAAACATAAGCATCTAATTGCATATCAAAGAGAGGGGCGGGAAAGGAAGTCCTGCACGAAGCTGCAGTCCACAGGCGGATGTGTGGGCTGTGCAAGGACAGGCCCAGAACAGGCCCTGGCTCTCTACCCTCGGAAATCAGGTTAACGTACTGCCAAACTGAACTGAAGGACGAAGCCAAGTCCGAAACCGGGTTGGCTTGGTTGACTCAGGCAGGACGGGAAGAGCTGCACAACCTGAGCACGGTTTTCAGGGCTGGTGCTGGAGTTTGTCTGACAGCTTTCCACATCTGAACTTGACCTTATTCTCAGTGCTAGCTCTGCCTCATAACGTTTCCTGTCCAGGAACATTTCTTCTTCACTGTTAGTTCACCCAGGATCTTGGTGACCACGACAGCGTTCATGTCCCCCTCAGCCTGACTAAAATTTAGATGTTTCTTCAGGACCATAGGCTCCCAATCTCCCTTTCCTTATAATATTTTTCTTCAGAATACTTATAAATTGTTAGCTCTCTCTCCACACCTTGAGGATACAAACATTCTATAACACAGGGAGGCCCTTTCCAAGGGCCTGCACACCATGACTTTGAAAGTGAATCACTAAGAAAATCTGGGTCCCTAGTGCCCATGGGACACCATGATAAGTGCCAGTCAGCAAACACAGCTGAGAGGGCTGGGGATTTAGCTCAGCAGCACAGTGCTCGCCTGACAAGAGCAACGTCGTGAGTTCGATTCCCGGTACTGGAAAAAACAAACAAACAAACAAAAAAACAAACAAGCAAACACAGGTGGCCTCATCACACTGCCCCAAGTCACTCCACCCTCCCCCAAAGTCCCTCAGTACTTTTCCTGCACTTTGTGTCAAGGGGGCTGACTCAGTCTCTCTCCTATTGGAACAGTCTTTGAAGAATTCTGCCTGACTTGTTTAATTTCTAACCCCATCTCGTGTACTTTTTCAGTGACAATGGACAAATCACTTTCTCATCTTCCTAATTCTTTTGCTCTCTGGATACCAGGCAATACCTTGCAGTGACTTTTGAATGAGTAATATACTTTTCTTTTAAATATGAGACTTAGAAATAAATGTGACTAAAAATGGATAGTCAAGACAGAGCTAGTGAATGATAGGTGCAATAAGGAGCAAAAAAAGTCACAGTGCTGGATGGGAAGATTTAGGTAACTGGATAATGCCAAGGAATAATTCAGTGCTAGGACTCTCTCTCTCTCTCTCTCTCTCTCTCTCTCTCTCTCTCTCTCTCTCTCTCACACACACACACACACACACACACACACTCCTATCAAAACATTTCCAAACTAATGCTATGCATATAAGTGTTCATGGTTGGAAAATGCCCCTGCCATGTATCTTTGTGATAGGTGTTAAGAGATGCATTAGCACGTAGCAAAATTTTTAACATGGCAGAATTTCAATTATAGAATGGTAAGTGTTGATATTGTGGTAAGAAACACCATTTGTATCAATACTGGTAGTAGAAGTTAGTAGTTAACAGATACAGATATAGATATAGGTGTAGGTATCAGTATAGATATAGATATAGATATAGATAGATATAGATATAGGTATGATAGAAACAGACAGAGACAGAGACAGAAACAAACTACCAAAAAATGTGTACACATTTCAGGAAAAGAAAAATACTATGGTGTTTTTCCAACAGATGTTGTTGCCCTAGTATGGGGGACCTAGAGGATGCCATATATTGCAGAAAACCCATTATACTACTGGTCCTTAGAGAATAACTTGGAAATCCGTGTGCAGCAACCTCAATGACCAAGATCACCTAAACTGCAGTTTACTGTACCAATAAATGTCTGCGTGCTGATGGCCACCACTCTGAGAAGCTCTTGTAATTATGGAGGCCGAAGAAAACTTGTATCAGTCTCGTGATGTCTCAGTAAATTCAGTATTGAAATATTTATACACGCTTTTCTTTTCCTGAAGTGTGTATACTTTTTTTGGTGGACTCTGTATATATAAATGACAAAACACACACACCAACACAGGTGGACCATTGTCATGAGCTAAGTAGATGTTGAAATCCATGACTCTCAAGAGAAGAAAGAAAAAAATTTAAAACAAAAGCCATATAAGGTCCGAGTGTGGGCCGGACTCATACCACCGCGATTCCCAGCCGAAAAGCGCGCAAAGAGCCAGGTAGGCCGCACCCAATCCCGGAGGCCAGGA